GATGGATTAAATATTTCCATATTAAGTTAAATAAGATATTTCATGCTTATGATAAAGAGCATCTAAAGAAATTTATGACTTCTAGATTGCCATTGACTTCTGGTTTCATTGCACTATGATCTATTAATATGCATGATATTATTACAAATGTTTTATATTTACCTAAGCTTCCTTTATTGACTAGTAAGTGGTCTACTTTGGAGAAAGTTCCATATGATTTTGTGAAGAATGTATATTCTATTGTTCTTGGGTGGAACACTGTAGATATCTATTAAGTCTGTTTGTTCAAAGGTTCTAGTCAATGCTGGCATTTCTTTTTTGAGTTTTTCTCAAATCTACTTGTGGAAAAAAAAATCTACTTGTGATAGTTGGGCATTGAGGTCCCAACTATAATTGTATTTATATTTATCTTGTCTTTTATGTCCAAGGTACTTGTTTTATGATGTTAGGTATGCCATTGTTTGGTGTGTATATGTTAAAAACTGTTATTTCTTCCTGTTGTACTATTCTCTTAACCAATATATAGTGACCTTCTTTGCTTTTTTTTATTAGCTTTGGCTTGAAGTCCACTTTGTGTGAATATAGGATAGCTACACTTGCTTTTTCTTGGGTGGGTGTTCCCATTCCGTGGAATATTGTTTCTCATCCTTTGATTTTTAGTATATAAGTTTCTTTTTGGGTTAAATGTGTTTTTTGTATACATCATACCATTGGATTTTGTTTCTTGGCCTATTCTGCCACTCTGCATCTTTTGATTGGGGAATTGAAACCATTCACACTGAAGGTTATTACTGATAGGTATTGACTTATTCTTGTCATTGCATTATTTTACTGTTGTCAGTCCCCTACCTTTCCCTTCTACATAACTGCTCAACCTACATAGTGAATTAGTTCTTTTAGATTTATTGTTATTGTTAGCTTCATTGCCTCTTTGTAGGATATCCTTGAGAATGTCTTTTGGAGTATTGGTTTTCTGGTCATGAATTTCTTTCAATGCCCTTCATCATGAAAATATCTTATTATCCATCAATTTTGAAAGACAGTTTGCAGGATATGGCGGTCTGGGTTGGAAATTGTTCTTTTAGGGCTTAAAACCATTTACTACAAGATCTCTTGGCCTTTAATATTTGTGCTGAAAAGTCTGCTCTAATTCTAATTTACCTTTTAATCATTTACCTTTATAAATGATTCATTGCTTTCCTCTAACAACTTTAAGATTCTGTACCTTTGTTGGACTTCTGGGATTTTGATTATAATGTGTCACAGAGAGGTTTTTTTCTATCATGACTATTTGGAGTTCTATATGTCTCACTTGTTTTTTGTTTTTTGTTTTTTTTTTTCCAGTACCAGGAATTGAACTCACAACCTTGCACTTGCCAGGCAGGTGCTTTGCTGCTGAGCTAAATCCCCAGCCCTGTCTCACTTATTTGTACATTAAATTCTTTTTCCTTGTTTGGAAAGCTTCCTGCTATTATTCTAGTAAATAGGTTTTGTTCTGTTTGTGTTGTCTTTTTATTTTTCACCAATTCCAATTAATCTTAGTCTTCCTTGTGCCATCTATGAGCTGCTGCATCAATTACTCATGTTCTCTTTTTGTTTTTAAGGTAGTTCTCATTAATTGGTCACTGAGAACAGCTGTCTTCTAGTTCTGAAACTCTGTCTTCATAGTGATCACATCTGTGGCCCATACTTTTGATAGAATTTTTAATCACATGAATTTGGAGCCTTTTATGAACTCTTTTTTTTTTTTTTTTTTTTTTTTTTTTTTTTTTTTGCATACCAGGAATCAAACTCAGGACCTTGTGCTTGCCAGACAGGAACTTATGCCACTGAGCTATATCCCTTGCCCTCTTTTATGAACTCTTAATTCTTTTCTATGCTGATCATTCATATATTTGCATCATTTTGTTTAGCTCTGCTAGCTTTTCATTAGTATCTTATGTAGACTTACTGATTATTTTGTATATTTGGCCCAATATGTTTTTTACTTGGAGTTAGGCTTGCCAAATGCCCTATTGATCTGCTTTGTTATCTCCCCCTAATATTTGGATGTGTAACTTTTGGTTTCACCTGTTTGATGCCCCATGTCTTAGCTTTGCAGGAGTTGTGAGTTTAGGGAAACATTTTGTTCACTTGTCTTCTCTTGTTTCTATTTTTTGTTTATTTTTGTGTTGAGCCTTACAGGTTAATTATAGTGAAAAGCTTTGCTTCTAGTGCAAAGATCTTTTTAGTTAAATGTCTACTTTCAGTGTTGTCCTCTGTGTGTGACTAACTATTGGCTTTGCCTCTGTCCCAGGATCAAATCACCTCTGTTTATTTGGGATAGGAGGTTTCAGCATATTTGGCCCAGTACTCACTTCTCCAGGAATGGACCACAGTATTATTAATGACCCCAAAGCAATCCAGATATTGGCATTCCAAGAAAATCAACTGCTTGCCTTTCTTGCCTCTCTAAATATAAAATAAGCTGCATATACTGCAGAAAAAACTCAGGTTGAACTATTTTTTGCTTGGGCAAAGTTAACTTAGTGGTTAGTTTCTAATTGAACATTATAAAGATTCTCATTTGGAAATGTTGTTTTTCTGAAAATAGTGCCTCAAAAATATCTAAATTCTCTATCACTTTCTTTGGATCTTCTACCTCTGAATCAGGGTTCTTTTATAAACATTTAGCTAATATGCATAATTTTAGTAATTTATTTTACTACAAAATCAATCATTTAACCTAAGTTCTTAAATAGGCTACACTAAAACTAGTAAGTCTCTAATTTTTAAAATTTCTCCTGATTCTATGATTACACTTTCTCATTCCTAATACCAATTTTTAATTTGCTTTTCCTTAATCATGCTCCAAAGAGTTTATTTTAATGCTCTTTTCAAATGAACACGTGTTTAAACTTACAATTTTTTATTTTTCTATTTCATTAATTCATTTTTTATCTGTATTAATCACTTTACCTTGTTTCTTTTGCCTTATTTTAATGTGTTTTTAAAATGTATAGGACTGGGGATGTAGCTCAGTGGTAAAGCACTTGCTTGGCATGTATAAAGTTCTGGATTCATTCTCCAGCATAATAACTAAATAAATACATAATATGTACTAAATTTTCTTAAGATGAATTTTAAATTCTTTTATATATTTATTTCTTAATAAAAGAGATAATAAAGGCATTTTCAAGTATAGCTGTTACTAGGAAACTGTGTTAGTTACTTTTCTTGTTGCTGAGACAAAATATCCAACACCCAAAGTTAATGGGAGAAAGGTTTATTTAGCTCACGGTTTGTAGAAGTTTCAGTCCATACTCAGCTGGCCCCAGAGCAGGGTGGCCTGGCAGAGGGGCATCACAGAGGAGAAACAGTTCATGGCAGGCAGAAGACAGCAAAAGCAAATAACCAAGGGAATTTAACAGTATCTCTCTGCCTCTAATCCCAGCACTCGGGAGGCTGAGGCAGGAAGATCATTGCAAGTTCAAGACCAACCTGGGCTACAAAGAAAGCTCAAGGCCAGCCTGAACTGCATAGCGAGACCCTGTCTCAAAAAGACAAAAAAAAAAAAAAAATCCAGTATCTTTCTGCCCCTTTTATCATGTATCTAAGATTCTAGGATAAGGGCAGTGCCAAACCAATCAGTGCACTAATTTAGTAATCACACACCCTTATCCCAGCATCACACATATTTTATCTAGCCAACTCTGAAAAAGCCCCAACTATAACTGTATGAGGCTTTAGGGGGACATCTACATACATAAGCCATAACATTCTGCCCCTGGCCCCCCAAAGATTCATGTACATCCCTTTATGCCAAACACATTTAGTTCATCTCCGAGAGTTGCCAAAGTCCTAACAGTTTCAGCATTGCTGAAAAGTCTAACTCCAAAGTCTCCTCTGAGATTTAAGGCAAACTCTTAGCTGCAAGCCCCTATACAAATGAAAAGGAAGTTAAATAATTCCAGTCCAACAGCCAATATAGTCTTTCTTCCCAGCAGAAACTTCTCATGCCTGACCTTTACCATGAGGATTTCTATCAGTGTTCTGGTTTTCTGAGCTCTGACTGGAATCTCCCATCAAATACAGCCCAAAATGTTCCAGCTCTACTTTTTCAGTAAACATCTCTAAACTTTCCAAAATCTTTCCACAAGCCAGTCACAGAGGCTCCTGAACCACATGGTCAAGTATAGTCACAGCAATAACTCCATTCCTGGTACCAAATTCTGTCTTGGTTACTTTTCTCATCACTGAGACAAAACATCCAACAGCCAAAGTTGAAGGAAGAAAGGCTTATTTAGCTCACAGTTTGTAGAGGTTTCAGTCCATGATCCACTGGCTCTAAGGAAGGGTGACATCATAGAGGAGAAATAGTTCATGGCAGGCAGAAGATAACAAGGGATGACCATAGCTCTTTCTATCCCTTATAGCTTATCCAGGCTACTTAGGGCAGGCAGCTCTCACAATCTTAATCCTATTGACCTTGATCCTAGCATTGCACCATGAATCAATTCCAGCATCACACACTCTAGATCCAGCCACCTCTGAAAAACCTCACCTATTATCAGGTGAGGCTTTGGGGGGACATCTAAATACAAGCCACAACAGCACCATAGATTTTACCTGACATGTTCTTTTTATTGCTTTCTATGGTACGTTGTTTCAAACTTTGCATTTTGTCTCTTTTCCTGTTTTGTTCAAATTCTAGCACACTCATTTTTTCCCTTGTCAGTTTGGACAACCTACTATACTTTTCCATTCTCATAATGTTTACCTTTCCTACTACTCAAAATCAGACGCATCTTTCTCAAGAAAGCAGTAATTTCCCCTATTAACAAGTCCTGGGGCTGGGGATTTAGCTCAGCGGCACAGCGCCTGCCTGGCAAGTGCAACGTCGTGAGTTCTGTTCCCGGTACCAGGAAAAAAAAAAAAAAAAAACAAGTCCTATTTCTCGTTACGACAGTAAAATGAGACCTTAAAATTTTTCTTTCTTCTCCCCATCCCCTATATTCCAGGAATTGTTAATTGGGAAGGCAGATGGTTGGTTAAGGAAAATTTTCTCCTTGAGAGGACTGCTTCCTCCACTATGACCCTCTGGTCAGGTCTGGGAAGACTTAACTAGAAAACAACACATAAATGTTGCAAGGGGACCATGACCAAGGCTCGAGTTTCGCTGGTATTTCTCTAGGCCTATAAACCAAGAAAGGGTGCAATTCCTAAGAAGGCAAGGCTCCCAAACTTGGTCCAGCAGGCCCTCGCCGGCCTCCGCCTCATCCACGAACTGCAACTCCCAGCGGCCTCCAAAGTACCCGGCAGCTTGCCATTCAGGCACAAAGGGGCCTTGTACACTTCCTCGCTCGCTAGCACGAGTCCTCCAATGGCAGCGGACGGCGCGGTGGCTTCTGGGAAATGAAGTCGTGTTGCGGCTGCGCAGGCGCGAACCTACAGCGGAGGCGGGTGGAAGCAGCGGTGTGGCGGTACCTACGCAACGCTCTGGCCCTGTGAGGTGAGTCTCGGCGGCGGCCACCTGGAGGTTCATCGCACTGGCCCTACTACTTTTGTTGGTCACCGCACACAGCGGGAGTTCTGCTAGAAGCAAGCCTCGCAGGCAGCTCCGCAGAATTGTTCGAACAGGGTTTGTGTCCCCACTAACGCGCGATCCACTGCCTGCGCCGCATCACGTGCTGGAGGGGACACTGGGGAAGTCTCCTGTCCTTTTCTTTCCCCAGGGCACAAGGGGAAAAGTGAAAGGTGAGAATGGATTGTTGCTACTCGTTAGCAGCACAGCTCCTCCCCTGGGCTTTTGGGTGGTTGCCTGGCAAGGCCGAGCACAGAAGTTCTGCTGGGCACTGGCTGAGCCAGAGCATCTCTCTGAATCACCGCCTGTGTTGTTTGTCCGTGCGCCTCCTCTGTCCTCAGCCAGAATTACCTCTGAATGCTGCTTTAATGTCCTCAGGATACGTTGCCTCCTTCAGTTAGTTACCTCTGATGCTATACTCTGCCCCAGAGCAAGCCTCTTGCTGATAACTACCATATAACAGGGTTCTGCTTCAAATCCTAGGGGATTTGCATTTTTCTTTTGCTGTAACACTACTACAGAATTTTGAGAAAGGGTGACGGCCGGGGTCATCTGGAAGGAGTCTTCCTCCCTTGCACCACACACTGAAAACCAGTCAGCCCTGGGCTTGGAATCTGCACACGTGCGTTTTGCTTCATACTTGCTTCTTCACAGTGATCACGTCTGTCTTCACCAGACTGTAAGTTTCTCAAAAGGAGTGATTTTAGTGGAGCAGGGGCCAGGGGAGGACTGGAGGAGAGAGAGGGACCAAAGGGTATTGTACAGGGTTTGACTCTTTATAGCTGTCAAATATGCGTTTAATGAATGGGGCTGAGGGGAGATGACAAAAGATTTTTTCTTGTTACAGGGTGGCCCTAAAAGGTTGCACCTGATGTGGACTTTGTGCAAAGCTAGTCACTGACAGCTGGTGCTTCAGGGTACACAGGAACAAGAGTTGATGATGATGTTGGAGCCAAAGGAAGAGGAGCAGTCTTGGGAATATGAAACCAAGCTAACAGGGAACCACTCTTCCAGTCAAGAGATCTTCCGCCAGCGCTTTAGACAGCTCTGCTACCAGGAGGTTCCTGGTCCCCGGGAGGCCTTGTGCCAACTACGGGTACTCTGTTGTGAGTGGCTGAGGCCAGAGAGACATACCAAGGAGCAGATCCTGGAGTTATTGGTGCTGGAGCAATTCCTGACCATCCTGCCGGAGGAGCTCCAGTCCTGGGTGCGGGAACATCACCCTAAGAGTGGAGAGGAAGCCGTGACTGTCCTGGAGGACTTAAAGAAAGGACTTGAACCAGGACCGCAGGTGGGAAGGGGGATTTGATCTGTTGTGGGAGCCAGATCAGTGACCTTCAGGCTGTTCAGAGGGGCAGCAGTAGGGGAAGGTGCCAAGGTAGAACAGTTAGTATGTGTTTCTGTCTCTGTCTTTTCTACCTTCAACCTCTGAATGAGAAAGAGACTCTAACTCCTCTTCCTTCCCCTGTGCTGACTCTAAGGAGGCTCTCTAAAGTCTCCTTGGAAGGCTTGGTCCCACATAAAACAAGTGGTGCCTGATCACCTGCAGGTTCCAGGCCCTGCATGTGGACCTGCACAGGAAGAGCCATGGGAGCAGAAGGAACCTCTGGGACCAGAACAGGCAGCAGGCGTCCAGCTCCAACCTAAGGAGACCCAGCTCAAGTGTGAATTTCAGGAGACCCAGCCCTTCCCAGAGAGTGGTGAGAAACAGAATTCTGGGGAGGAAGAGGAAGAAAAGAAAGTAAAAGGTACTGTCTAGTTCCTTATAAGGGGCACATGTGAGGTGCTTATATTTGCTATAATCATTATGGTCTTTTCATACCTCTTAACTGAGTTAGCCTGTCTCATCACCCTAAAATTAGAAATAAGAATAATCTACCTTGGGGTTGGAAGTGTAGCTCAGTAGTTTAGTACTTGCCTAGCATGTGAGAGCTCCTAGGTTCAGTCACTGACACCACCAGTGCCCCCGCAAAAGAAAAAGAATAACTTACCTCATAAGATAGTTCTGTAGGTTAAATCTAGCATACGTTTGGATATAAAATTTGAGTAGCATCTCTTAGTTTTAGGGAGCCCTAAAGCCGGACCATAAAATGTTTATTCACTTGGAGCTTCTTTATCCCTATTGCTCTTGGCTCCTAGTCCATGATAGCTCTGCCCAGAGCTAGAGACCAGCCTTGAAATATTTCCCTTTTAGGTTCCTCATACTCTCCAAAACACACTTTTTTTAATTTATGAAGCTCTTCTATGAGAGACACAATCTGTCATCTTTATCCACTACCTTCCCGTGCTCCCATTTAAAACTATTATGTCTGCATGTACCTTCTACCCTTCAGATCAACTATGGAAGCATCCTCCTTAGCCCATATACCTCTCCCAAACAATCTTTCCTCTCTCCACAAGGCTGGACTCAATCCCTAGCCTCTGGCTGTGGTGGGAGCTCTCTTTTCTTCCTTTGTAAAGGAACAGATCAAAGGGAAAGGCAAAGAGCATTCAGCAGATAGAAGCAGGGAGCTGAGTTCTCCCTTTGAGGAGCTAGCTGCATGATGATCCTCTTCGGCATCTGGAGATTTACAAGGAAGGGATATGAAAGAGAAGAGGTGAAGGTTACAGAGCCAGGAAAGGCGCTCTTTTCACCTTTAGGACATCTCTTTTCCTAACCCTAATGATTCTTCTGCCTTATTTTTCCCTTGCTTTCCAACATCAGTTAATCACTCCCCAATTGCTTGAAAATACTTTTTCTTTTATTTTTTAAGAGTGAATTCTGAGACGTTCCTGCTTTGAAACTTTCTGTATCTTTTAAGTGCACTTTTTAAGTATTCCACTATAGAATACTTAAAAAACTATATAAGCATGAGGATAGAGAAAAGAAAGAAAAGAAACCCTCATCCCCTGCACAATCCCATCACGAAGAGAATAACCATTAGTAAATCTAAGTAAATATCCTTCCAGTCTTTTTCATATATATATAAATCATATTTTTAAGTTTTTATTTGCATCTCAGATATGTAAATCCTAACCTAACTGTCACTTTTCCATACATCCAGAACAGGTACACTTAGATTTTTCATCGGTTGTTGCAGAAGATCGTCCAGAACTCAACGACAAAGGCTCACTGCCACAGCCACCCGTTACTAAAGTGGAATCACATGTGTTCTTGGAAAACCTTGCCACTGACACCTCTACACTTGAAGCTACCTCAAAAGTTGAGGGCACCTTAAAACAGCGGCAGAGAAATCCCAAAGTGAAAAAACCAAGGCCATCCCCTGCTCAGGAAAAAAGTCTCAGACAGATGGTTGTCACCCATAAGAAAACTCCTCCAGGGAAGAAAGACCATGAATGTAATGAATGTGGGAAAGCCTTCATTTATAATTCACATCTTGTAATCCACCAGAGAATTCATTCTGGAGAGAAACCCTTTAAGTGTAGTGACTGTGGAAAAACTTTCAATCAGAGCTCAAACCTCATTCAGCATCAGAGAATTCATACAGGAGAGAAACCCTATGAGTGTAATGAATGTGGGAAGGCCTTCAGGTGGGGTGCTCATCTTGTTCAACATCGGAGGATTCATTCAGGAGAAAAGCCCTATGAGTGTAATGAATGTGGGAAGGCCTTTAGTCAAAGTTCATATCTAAGTCAGCATCTAAGAATTCACAGTGGAGAGAAACCTTTTATGTGTAAAGGGTGTGGGAAAGCTTACAGATGGAGTTCAGAGCTTATTAGACATCAGAGAATTCATGAGAGCAAAGAAAGTGTACCAAAGTGTACCAAAGGTGAGACAGTCTCCAGACAGACTTGTACTTTTGTCTAACCTACTTAGAATGAGTGCCCATAAAAGTTATAAGCACCTTAAGGTTTTTCCTGTGTCTTTCTTGATTTAGGAAAAACTTCACATTACTGCAGATTTTATTACTTTATATCTTTTGATTAAGATTTCTTTGGCTACAAATAATAGCCAAACTGTGCTGCTTCTCCTTTCTGGCATAAATTTGAACAACTTCCTGAGCTGTCCACTAATAAAATGAGGATAGTAACCCCGACTTCAAAAAAAGTAGCCAGACGTGGTGGCGCATGCCTGTAATCCCAGCACTCAGGAGGCTGAGTAAGAAGGATTGCTGTGAGTTTGAGGCCAGCCTGGGCTACAAAGTGAGTTCAAGGCCAGCCTGAACTGCTTAGTGAAACCCTGTGTCAAAAAGAAAAAAAAAAGACGAGTTCTGTTCCTGCCACACAGTAGCTGGTCAAACAGCGATCATTATTCAAATTTTTTTGTGAAACTTTTTGTCCTGTCTCTGTCAGACCCATATTAGTCTGTGTCCTTGAACAGGATCATCCACAAATGACCAGACAGGTGTTGGAAACCATACTAGTAAGTTAAGCAGGGAAGTTTAAGATAAAAAAAAAATTAACTTGTAAAAAGGGGGTTATATAATAAAGAAGGTAATGCACTCCCTAAAGAATATAGGAATAGTGGAACGGGATACAGCTACTACCTGTAGGGCTGAGGGAGAATACTCAAGAAAGAAGGGCTTAGCCCCCACTCCTCCCCACCCCTGCCCAAGACTGAAATACAGACCTCACTGGGTAAGAGAATGGCTGTTCTAGAGGTGTGCTAGAGCCGGTTTGCAAGAGTCAGTTTTGCACATCTCTTCCCAAATCTGCATTGAAATTAATTGCAGGAATATCACACTGGAAATCAGTAAATGCAACACTGCAGAGAGATTTTTTGACCTCGTTTAATTTTGCCAACACAGTAGTGGCTGTAGCCCACTCGGTACCGATGTTCGCTGAAGTGCGGCAGGCCAAGACTGATGAGCAAGCAGCCGCTAGTGCAGCTGCAGGTGAAACTCCTTGGAGGGCAAGTGCTGCTGAATCGCCAAAAAGAACTTGAAAAAAGCCCTTTCCTTTTTGCCTTGTCCCTTCAGTACCCCTTACTGACAAAGCCTAACATGCCACGTGGCAAAAGGAAAATCTCTACAGATTTGGAGGTAGGAGAATATGATCATTGATCCACATTTCAAGCTGCTTTCCACCTTGGGACCTCTGTCCTTGTGCTCTACCCGCTGCCTTCATGCTGTCTTCCTTGTAGTTACATAAACCACACCCTTTTATCCATATCTCTATTTCAGTGCTAGAGGAAACTTTCCTAACATACAAGTTTATTTCTCACATAAACATGCAGAGGTAGCAGGCGATCAGTAAACTACAGTTTAAGGGTCAAGTCAAATCTAGCTCATGGCCTGTTTGTGTGTGGCGCATCAATGCTGAGAATGATTTTTACATGTTTTAGGTGTTTAAAAAGAGATGTGACAGACTGTGGTGCAGAAAGCCTAAAATATTTACCATATGGCTCTTTACAGAAAAAATGTCATGCTCTGGCCTAGTGGGCAGCTCAGTTTAGTTTCACCAGATAATTCAGGGGCCATGTACTGTACATCTTGCTCTTCATTCCCCTAGGCTAGGATATCTACCCCTACCTCCCAACCCCCTAGAAGTAGGGATTGAACCCAGGACCTTTGCACTGAGCTACATCCCCAACCTTTTTTTAAATTTTTTGACAAAGTCTCACTAAGTTTCCTAGGCTGGGCAGGAAAGTGCCTCAGGTGTACGTTACATTTTTTTCACAAACTTGCAGTCCTGCCTCAACCTCCCAGAGTGCTAGGATTACAAGTGTGTGCCCGTGCACCCTGTTTGGGCTAGAACAATTTTGTGCGTTGAAGGTGGGTCATTACCATACCCATGTTCCAGCTTACAATAAAATTGAAGCTATAGTCACAGGAAGTGATTTCCCATCCAGTAAACATGGAATATGACCCACTCCTTTGGTGAGAACTCAATTGCGTGGCCACATCTATCTTTCAGAGAAGTTAGAAAACATTCTAGCAGGATGGCCATTTGCCCAATTAAAACTATTCCTTCAAGCTGGTGTGGTGGTGGCATCCCACAAATCCCAACACTTGAGAGGCTGAGGAAGGAGGATGTCACAAGTTTGAGGCCAGCCTAGACTACATAGTTCAAGCCCAACCTAAACTACGCGAGGCCCTGTGTCAAAAACAACAACAACAAGAAAAACTATTACTGCCGGAAAGAAGAAAACAATTTGGGAAGACAGTGAGGAGCCTTCCACTCCATGAGACATCTTCACACTTCTGCAACCCACGGGTGTTTGATGAGGGAAACACCATTCTGGTCCCAGAGGGGACAAGGCTGGATGAGGGGAAGCAGGATGGGGATAAGAAGTCAAGAATGTGGATCAGAGTGCTGGCCTTGGTGGTCACTCCAGAAATAATTCCAATTACAGAGCCCTATATTCAGCATTCTGAAGAGAGGTAAAACCAGAAAAATATTTTGTAGGCAAAATACACTGACCTGAAACATCTCTTGCCTTTGTTAAGTGCAAAAGAAGCTACTACAGCAAATGTCCTGTGTGCTTAGTGTGATTGTTTCAGGAACGAGTTCCTTATCCTTGAGGGACCTACTTGTATAATAATTGGTTCCTGTTTCTGCGCAAGTGCCTTGTGCACATGTGCACTTTGCAGTTCATTCCGATAGCAGGAGGTTCCCAGCCCTTCAGCTGACCAAACATCTGTAAAAATTGTGGTCTTTTGGCCACAGCAGGAGACAAAGGGAGACAGAGACTTGTTTATCTTGGGAACCTAATGGGGAACCTATGTATGCCTTGTAAATACCCTAAGTAGAGATTTTTCAACAAATACCATAATAAATATTGGTGACCTGGTCTGGAAGAAGTGGTTGCTCAGGTGCTTTGTGGGCAGAGAGACTGAGATTGGTAAGAAATGTGGATTCATCCTCTGCCTAACACAGAGGTTCTTGTCTGTTCAGCTGCACATCTGGGAAAAGCTCTCTCATCAAAGGGAAATGTGACGTACACCTGAGGCACTTTTATACTCAGGAAGAGAAAAATACAAGAACTTTAGTCAATTGTTGGTGCCATCTTCAGGGATCATAAAGTCTTTTAACGATGAAACCAGTTATGGAATAAGTGCAGTTAGAATAATTTCATTTATATCTTCGTTTTATCTGAGTACTCTATCATACCTATTTCTTTGACTCCACCAGAAAAATCTCATATACGGGAACAGGCAAGGGCCCTGCCTGGATAAGGAAGATGTCTGTCGGAGGAAGCCACTGACAAAGGAACTAGCAGACTGAGCAAAGTAGTTTGAGCATTTGATTTAGCAGGATCCTTTCACCATTGCATCTTCCTGCTGCAGGTTTTCCTTGCCCTGTGGTTCCTGGGGTGTGGCCACAGTAGCGTGGCTCCTTTGGAAACCACCCTGTGAAGACAGACTGGCAGAGGGGTTGAGGGGGTAGAGAGAGCTCAACATTTCTGTCAAGTTATCTTTTTAAAAATCAACTTGTTTCCAAATAACTGCATTCCAAGACAAACTTCAAAAATATTTACAGAATTTAGAAAAAAGAAAAACAAAACACCCAACATGCAAGATTTATAGTGCCTAGCATACAATCAGAAATTAAAGGCATACGAAAAACCCTCCAGGAAATATGACACATAGTAAGAAAAATTATTAGCAGAAACATCCAGAAATGGCATAGATCATAAAATTAGTAGACAAGGACATTTAAAAAGCTATTGTATTCCACATGCTCAAGAAGTTAAACGTAAGTATGAGCATATAAGAAGAGATATAGAGTATATTTTAAAAGGCCCAAATTATGATGAAAAATACAATGATAAAAAATATACTAAACAGAAAGTATCCAAAGTGAAACAGATTTTAAAATACTTGTAAAAGAAAAAAAAAGATGATCAGAGCATCTGTGAGTCGTGGGATAACTTCATTCGATCTAATAAACCTGTAACGAGACCCAGGGGGTAAGGGAAGAGGGTAGCAGAAAATACATAAAGGCTAAAAAAATTTCCAAAGTTGATGGAAAGCCTAAGCCCAGAGGTGCAAGAGGCTCAGCAACCACCAAGAAACATGAAAAAGATCCCAAAGCGCAATCATTATCAGATTGCTTAAAACCAGTACTAATTACACAGGTAAGATAATTGGCCCAACTGTGAATTCTTATTTTATAAACAAGGGCCAAAATGTGTAAGAAACAAGCTAGCCATGATAGCTCATGCTATATAGTAATCTCAGTGCTCAGGAGGCAGCAGCAGGGGGATAGCCACAAGTTTAAGGTCAGCCTAGGCTACACAGTGAGTTCAAGGCCAGCCTAAATTATGTAAGGGAGATCCAGTCTTTTAAAACATGTATAAGAAATAGAATAAAATATTGACTTTTGAAGAAACTTAAAGATTGTAGTTACTTCACAATAGAATTCCCAGTTGTAAAGGAAGAAGCCTTCTATGATAGACTCCATACATGTTACATTTAGAAATTTTATTGGAAGCCCACTTGTTAGACTTCACAAAGTATTATAAAAGGTAATAAGGTTCCCACGTTAACTCACAAAAGCTATGTGGCATCCTTAAGGAAGACAAAATAGTGTACATTTAAAATAAAACGACAGAAAGTAAAAAAAAAAAAAAAGTATAATGTAGTATCTAAGATGTAATTTTTATTCACCTTAAATTTTAATGCTGTGACAAAGCATTCTTAATATGGAGTAAATCAGAGGGGAAGGAAAGTGTGTAAGGGAGAAAACGCATTACATTTTTTGGCCCACAATATGTACCAGGTACTGGGCTTTCAGGTACATTATTATGTATATACTCCCAATGCCTTGAAAAGTAAGTATCTTCCCCACTTTGTGGAGCAGGAAACAAACTCAAGGAATAACCAAGATAATATGATCCATGTTGAATTTTAAAGAGATTTCTGGGTCTGCTCAAGATGCTGCACTGTTTATTTGGTTCACTGTGTC